GGCCTCAGTAAACGCGCTTTTAAAAATATATTTCATGGAGAAGTTAATGAAACAAATTTGAGATTGTAAATGTTGATGCATATTTCTTTAAACTTAGTAGTATAATAACTCAGAACAAAGACAAAGTAAACTCTAACTTACTGTAGAAGGGATCGAAGGAGTATGTCATGTCAGGAAATAATGTCAAAAGTTACACTGTAACAAGTGCAGACCTGTATGGTGTATGGATGGTTTGGCAAGGGAACAGGGGTACCTACCATAGTACACCTACCAATTCCCCCCATAAATTACACGATCTTGTGCCTCAGCCAAAGTTTTCGCGGCCATTAGAGATCCACGTGTCCACTTAAGCGATTCACCAACTCCACCTTCCCTAAGCTACCGCCTTCTCCTCGTCCTCGATCTGTGGCTTCATCACTTCATCTCCCTCCCCCTATTAATACAGCTCAGCAGCTCACTGCCATTTCCCATTCCCACTCAGAAACACAAGCACAAACGCAAGAAGCTCAAGAAGCTGAGGCAAGCCCAAGAAGAAGAAGAAAAAAGCCAAGAAAGAGAGATGATGGGAAGCGAAGGCAGCACAAGCCCAGCGGCTGGGGGAGGCGCCGCCTGCGCGGTGTGCGGTGGCGCCGCGGCGGTGTACTGCGCGGCGGACGCTGCGGCGCTCTGCAGCGCCTGCGACGCCGCCGTGCACGCTGCGAACCTGCTGGCGTCGCGCCACGAGCGCGTGCCTCTTTCCATGGCCGCCGTGGCAGCTGCGTCCGGCGTGTACGACGACCTCTTCGCGCCCGACGACATCGACGCGGCGTCGTCGTGGCCGGCGGCGGCGCCCGCGCACGCGCAGGGGCAGGGGCAGGGCAGCCCCCAGAACGGCAGCTCGTCGACCAGCTTCACCACCAGCGACAGCGGCGCGGAGGGCAGGGGCCTGTTCGACCTGCTGTCCGACGTCGACCTCGCGGCGGCCTGCGTCACGGGCGGCGGCGGCGGTTACCTGCCGGACGGCGTGGCTCCCGTGCATCACGGCGCTGCGCCGCTGTGGGCGCAGCCCGGCCTGCAGGCCGCCGCATGGACGGCCACGTGGTCGCCGGCGGATGCCGCGGCCGCGGCAGCTGTCTTCGGCGTCCCGGGCGCCGCCGCCGTGGTCGCCGCGGCGGCGGAGCGGGAGGCGAGGGTGCAGAGGTACCGCGAGAAGCGCAAGAACCGCAAGTTCCAGAAGACCATCCGCTACGCGTCCCGCAAGGCCTACGCCGAGGCGCGGCCCAGGATCAAGGGCCGCTTCGTCAAGCGCGCCGCCGGCACCTCCTCATCCTCCTCGGGCGCCGGCACATCGGACGGCAACAACGACGCCACGGACGCCGCCTCCAAGTTCTGGCTCTCCTTCTCCGACGACGCCAGGGACGATGGAGTCGGCTTCTACGTGGACGCCGGGGCCTACGGGGTCGTGCCAAGCTTCTAGAAAGTTCGTTCCAAACAAGCCTTGGAAGCTTCTGGCGGTGGCGTTCGCCCAGCTTGAAACAAGCTAAGAAATGGGTGCGCGCCATGGCGCCATCGTTCTTGTTTGTGTCGTGTCATCATTCATGTGGGCAGCATTCGTGGTGAAATTCCGCCATCGCTATTTTTAAATGATGGCGCGGAATTTCGATGGGTCATCATCAATTTGGTGAACGAACTAGGGGATTTATTGTGTGTCGTAAGATAGCTTATGTAGACGACGTTCGCTGTTAGTTTTTCATGAATCCATTTTAATTTCTATATATGCTAAGATGATTAATTAATAATCTGGTGATTTCAGCATGGATCCATTTTCTGTGCCAAGGCCCTGTTTATGAATTTCGATGGGTCATCGTCCTCGATTTACTGAGGTTAACAATATAATTGTGGTGGAAATCTGCCATCCATAGCGAGCTTTTAGATAGATGATCGTCAAGCGGATTTTTAATGGGTCAATCAGGAAAGAGATTTGGTAAATGTATGGAGAATAGCTTACTGTATGTATCTGTGTTCATCCATGGTTTTAGTGTTTTGACTTTCTATTCCAAGATGATTAATTTCCATCCATGGTGATCCCAACCTGATGCTAATGCCACTATTGTGTCGAACAATTGTAGTAGAAAGTCTGCATCGCTCTTTTGTTTCTCCAATGATGATGATGATGATGCTTTTGATGGGTCGATCGGCGAACTACAATTTTCTATGTCATCATTCCAACAAACAGTTCTGGGTACTCCATCACTACTTTTGAAGTGATGATGCAGATTTTATACTAGCAGTTACTAATGGCATCTCTAAGACAGCTAGCTTGCATTGTGTGGTATTTTCGTGGTTAGGTTTCCTATCCTGTGAGTCTGGGACAGATATTGTTCCATGTGAATTCAGGATTGTGGTAGTGGAAAGTTCATACAATCGCTGTTTTTTGGCTGATATAAACGTGGATTTGCTGTGGTATGTAAAAGCCACTTTCCACTATTGAAATAGGTGATCAATGCAACTTTTTAAGATAGCATATCATGTAGCTGTCTGAATAAGGTTGTGTAGTTGTTCACATGTAGTTTTCGCAGTTCTGTCATCTGTGCTAAGATAATAAATCCTATGTGATTTGTTATGAAGATATATGCTTGCATGATTCATGGCTCCAATTCTTCTACTTGGTTTTGAAGTGTGACATGATCACTAGTCCATTGTTTAGTTGTTTTTAGATGAGGATGTCCGTCATGGTAAAAGGATGTCTGTTTTGGGTTTGTGGGATGTTTTCCATACGAGGAACTAGTATCGGGAATATTCTCCCTCCATCTTTATTCTGTCTTATTAGGTATCAAATGTGTTTATATACCCGCATGGCTGCAACTGCAGGTAGGGATGAAAACGATACCAAGTGGTCTATTTTTTTTGTCAGTTTCCTACTTTTTTTTTTTTCTGAAACATTAGTTTCCTACTTTTTGTTTCCTCAGATATCGAACATTGTCGACAACGAATAGGGGCCAATATATATTATGGAACTTTGGAAACAAAACTACCCGATCTGAAACACATCGATATATCGATCCGAAATTTATAATTTATTGCAAACAATGAGCAATAGCACAACAAATGCATATAATCAGAGTGACTGATTTGAGTGATTGACATTTCATAAGAGGCTGAGACAAAGAAAATCGAACGACAACAATTAAAAACTGGACTTGGGGGACATGATTAACCGCTGGGGTTTGCCTATTAGGCTTCAATTCATTTTTGTTTCTTTAACCGTTATACTATTGTTGTCTTTGCGGAGGGAAAAGTCCATTTTATCTTCTTAAACTATCGTCATAGTATGAATTTTCTCCTCAAACTTTAAAGTTAGAGATCACACCCTCTAAACTCTCAAAATCGTTCAAATGACCTCCCTGCCCTAGTTTGAGGTGGCTTTGTCCTTTTTTAGCTAAAAAATTGGTAAATGCTAAAATAAGGTTTTTGAACCACATAAAATTTCTCTACACTTCTAAATTTTTTGAGAAAATTCCTAGACATAGATTGAGATACAACAAATCCAAATCAAATATTTAGATCTCATGATAATATCTCTACAACATTCCAAAAAATAGATTTAGATCAAGAAAAACAAAAAAAATCCAGAATGTAGTAATCCCAAAACATTCCAATTGATGCTTAAACACATTTTGAAAACTTTTCAATAAAATGTAAGATCCAACCAGCGTGAATGCAGTGCATCCATACTTGTTGAATCTCATATTTTTGACATCGATTACAATGTTTTGGTGGTGTGTGTGTGGGAGGGGGGGTTCTAGTTTTTTCTAGATATTTTCCCATTTCCTAAGAGCCCAATCAATTTTAGAAGGTTCTAGATATATTTTCACAAGCTTTAAATATTTTATTTGGATTTTTTGTTTCCAAATCTACCTCTACCATTTTTCTTGAAAATTTTAGAAGCTTAAAAGCATTTTATGTGGTTCAAAAACCTTATTAAGTATTTATCAGATTCTTTTTTTTAAAAAAAAGACAAAACCGCCTTTAAGACCACTAACCATGGCGGAGAGGTAATTTTAACGGTTTTAAGAGTTAAAAAGGGGTGCGGTGTCTGATTTTGAAGTTTAATATAAGGAGGAAATTTAGATTAGCACGATAGTTTAGGAAGATAAAATTGACTTTTTCCTTTCGTGGATGCCATAAGTTGGTACTGGGCTGGGCAGGCTTAGGCCCAGTCATCAGAAATCCAGGGCATAAGAAGATAAATTGGCCATGATCATTGTGTCATGAAGCTAAATAAATATCCCTTTGTGTAATCTTATTAGCTTTCTTTGTTTGCTGATCGGCTGTATTGTTTTTGTGTTTAGGGGGCAACCCCTCCTGTTTTCCTAAAAAAAATAAGCTGATCGGCTGTATTGTGCCATGATCATTTTTGAAGGAGGGCAGCAAATATATTTTTCTGCTGAAGGGCTTGGTCACATATTTCCATCCAGTGTCTTAGGCTGAGTTTACCGTATATAGGCGGCTTGGATTTTTATTCAAAATCGTTGTGATTCTGGTGTTGACTCATGAATATACAAAGTTCTTAGTTTCCTAATCATAAATTCATAATCCTACCAGAAAAGGTTTGTAAATAATAAGCCTGCTTGGTTTAGTAATGGCTTTGTGCAGTTCAAGGCACTTCGTAAGGGAGCGCAAGATAATAACTCAATTTTTTCATTATCTTTAGTAAAGATCGATTAGTCAGCAATACATAATAACGTTGAGATGTATGGTCAAAACTGGCTTCACAATTACAGGCACTCCGCACGCCCATTAGGGAATGCAATCTCTTATGCTCATCCTCATCCATACTCTAATTCAACTGATAAAGCCGAACCGGCACTGAATACATCCCAAAAATCTCCGTCATATATTACATGATTAAATACCAGTCATCTAAGACTACAAACCAGAAAACATAGCTCCATCACCATGACAAGAAAGGCATGCCAACAGCACATACAGAAAGAAATGGAAAAAAAAGGAGGCTACAATTACGGTGAACAAGATTCAGAAAACAATGTACAATCATCCATGTCGTCCACCTCGTCCTCGGGAATGTTCCATTTCTCGGGCTCCTTCAGACACTCATCAGTAGTAGACAGGAAATGCAGAACCTGAAAAACAACATGAGCAGTAGGGGACAGTGGCATACTGTTATCAGCAAACATTTGACAATACTACAATCAGATCAGCTCAGGTATCTAGTAATAAAATTGGTTAGTACCTCGGCCATTGAAGGCCGCCACATCGCCGGTCGCATGATGCAGCGGGATGCGACTGCGACCATCCTATTCAGTTGATCTTTGTCATAGTCATCTCCGAGGTTTGGGTCTGCAAATTCAGTCACTTGCCCAGCTTCCAGCAGTGGCTTTGCCTAGACAACAAGAGTAAGTCATATGTGCGAATTGTTGCCTGGTAAACATCATGTTGGTGTCATTTCTTTCTCTTGTCCTCACCCATTGCAGAAGGCTTTGCTTGGAGCAGTCAATAGGTCTCCTTCCAGTGACAATCTCTAGCAGCAGAACGCCAAAAGCGAATATGTCGGTCTTTTCATCGACGATGCCATGCATGAAGTATTCTGGTGCCAAGTACCTGCGTTCTCAAAGTGATTTTTGAAAATTTGAGTCGAAATGCAATGTTCTTACATTACATTACTATGGTTTCAAAATGAGCACACTGTTCTTACCCAAATGTGCCTTCTATGGGTATGACAGAATGGTGAGTCCACTGCTTTGGGAGCCACTTTGACAAACCGAAGTCTGAAATCTGTTATGGACACCACAACCATCTTTTGTCATAGTCTATGCATCGAAGCAATATAACTATCTATTTGGTCAGAAAACAATTTACCTGAGGTTCGAAGTCATTGCCAAGAAGTACATTGGATGCCTTGATATCTCGATGGATGATCCGATGCCTGCAGAACATATGCAGATATTGCAAGCCCCTCGCTACACCCACCGCAATCTTGTACCTCAGAGGCCACTCAAGAGTTTTCCCACTCTTCCCTGTAAAATTGGATCTCTATTGTCACATAATTACTCGAGAATTCTCCTTATCTCTGAAAAAATGATGATATATACTGTACTACTGAATGAAATTCGGTACCATGCAGTGCCGATGCTAGCGTGCCGTTTGCGCAGAACTCGAATATCAGGTACAACCCATTCTCAACGCAGCATCCAAGAAGGTAGGATGTGTTTGGATGGCATACATGCCCCTGAATCCCTAGCTCTGCCAGGAACTCTTTCTCCTTCTGCTCACTGGGCGTGCCTTTTGCTAGCCTCTTCACAGCTATATGTTGGCCATCAGATAGGGTGCCCTTGTATACTTCTGCATAGCCTCCTCTTCCAGCCATGTTATCTACAAGCAAACCACAGAAAAATTAAAGATAACAATCTTGCATTCTGATCTTGATGTTTCATTTCTTATGACATCAAATCTCCTATGGTAAGCTTTTTCACAACTAATATATAAGAATAGCTGAACTTCTGAAAACTTAATGAACTAGTATTTGAACAGAGTCACCTGGATGGAAGTCATTAGTGGCCACTGAAATCTCCTGAAAGCTGAAACACCTCCAGGCAGGCTTGTGATCTTCTGCATAGGTGGAACCGACATCGCTGCCCCTGGCGCTATCATCGCCGATGTTCCTCAGGGATGGGAGCCAGAGCTTCATGTCTGACAACCGTCTCCACAGGCCATTGTGTCCACGCCGGCTCGCCTCATGGCTAGACGTGCTGTAGCATTCTTCAGTGACTTGGTTCTCGCCTCCCTCTGCCTCTGGCCCATCCAGAACTGCTCTCGGCGAGCTCTTGTCCTCGGCGCCTTCATTAGAAGATTGAGCCAGCTTCCGTGTCGAGTTTGATCTCAGTAGCTTCTGAAGGGGTGGGAATCTTCTGCTCCATGTTGAGCTTGAGGAGATGGTGCTGTCTGCTGCTTTCAGTTTCGGAATTGGTTTCAGAAAGCAGGTTTATCACGCATCTGAGAAAAATGCACTCTGACCATATGTGTGATCTTACCATCAAATGACCGAGGTCTCAGACGAGTACTACTTTGTGGTAGGCCTCCCCTTCCCACAGCAATCACCGAGCAGTTTTTTGGAGCATGCATGAAGCAGTAGTTTGCAATCTCAAAATGGCTCCTGTTATGGTAATAGGTGTAAGAGTAAGATCAATACTTTCTAGGCTTCTAACTGAAAATTAATAGCAGACTCACTTATTTTTTTTGAAAAAGTGATCACTTTGCGATACTCACTGGCTATTGATATTACATAAAAAAATTCAGGAGCAACTGAGTTCAATATTTTATTTTGGACATTAAAGTTGAATCAGCCTGTTGAGATTACCTATGGTATCCATTTCTTGATCTCCCAACAATAAGGATGTTTCCATCAGTCAATTCAGCTTCTTGGGTGAGGGCTGTACCAATGTTAGAGCTGCATATCACCTTAGCCTCCAAATTAATCTAAAAAAGGTAACAAAAATAGTTACAGGTCTGTCTCAAAATCTAATGTTTATTATTAACATGATTGTCACCCCCAACCACAGTACATTGTTCTTCCCAATACTGCTACTAGACTACCAACCAGTGAAAGTAAGTAGTACTAGTCGAGAGAATATGACAGCAAAAAAGCACAGACTCAGTCACTCAGAGCATGGCCCTATCATATCATGATCTAAAAGCTCTACTTCACCTAACTGGGCCAGCAGCTGACAGAAAGGAACACCAACTAGCAATTATGCAAAAACTTGGCTTCCAAGCTCCCGCTGCACTGTGTTGTGATCACATTCACAGATGAGGGCAAAGGGAACCGCACCCAAACAAACAGAATACACTCCAAAACAGAGAAAGATACTCCTGTACTTAGAACTAAAGTCTGACATCACCTGAACTGAGTTCATCAAACATAGGAACAAGAAATCTGCAAAGCCTGATAAAAATTCAATTTCACCTGCTTGGCCTCACAAGCTTCGACGAATTCGCCGAGCATGTAGATGACGAAGGCGTTGGCCTTCTGCAGCCTCCTCTTCCTCCCCCTCCCTCCTGCAGGGCAGGAACAGGACACAGCCAGGCATCATGAACACCTGATCGATGAGCAGAAGCAGAGCAGCAGAAACATGAATTGGTTGATCGATTGAACTTACCTAGGACGTGCACGGCGACGACGGAGTCGCTGGCCTTGGCGACGGCGCCGATCGCCCACGACAGCAGCTCCGAGCAGCCCCGGGAGTTGTCCGGCACGCCGACGAGGATCCTGTTGCCGAGGCCCAGCAGGTGGCGGCTTCCATCGCCGCACTCCTCGATAGTGTCCATGTCCTAAACACCTACCCTCCCTCGCTCACAGTTGTAGCTGGCCGTGGCCGACAGCCAGTTGTACACCGACACACTTCGCTAGCTGCTACGTGGGCGATGACAACGACGACGAGCGACGGCGATGGCGAGGACAGCGACAGGGATTTGTAGGTGATGGCTGGATGGAAGCTCTGCATGCATGCTGGCAGTGCCGCAGTGGCCAGTGGAGGGAGTGCACTGAAAAGATGGTTAGTTAGTTGGGGGCAGTGATGGCCATTCCATTAGCACGATCGCTGGCTGGACTGTGGAGAGAGCTGCCATGGCACTACAAAAATGGGGTTGCTTAGGACAGAAGATGCGTGCAGGGTACAAAGATGGGTAGAGGGAGGGATCGGATCAGCAGAGCCAGAGCACTGTGCTGCCAACCTAGGACTGGACTGCTGCTCGACTCTTATTGGATCTTGCACCACGAGCTTCAGATGTACTCGAAGCTGCTGGTACCCGATTTGATCTGCCCTACAGAGTTATCAGTGACAGCGTCTCCAAACTGGTTCTGATTATGGAGAGAGAGAGGGTGGCGGTGGTACTTGCTTGTGTTCATATAAATGTAAAATGTAGGAGCAGGTAATTGGTGCCTTGGTCAGACCAAGGACCATTTTGTTTGAGAAGAAAATAAAAAGGGTACAAACTACAAGGGCGTGTTAAGTTCGCTGGTCTGGCCCATCCGCACCAGCCGGCTGATCCCCTCAAGCAAACACTATTCATCAACCAAATTGCCATTCTGATTTCTCTCACAAAACCAGCCAGCTTCAGTCAAGTTTCAAACCAGCGAACGGGGCCAAAGTAGCGTACTCAGAGCTGCTTCAATTTTCAGGGGACATTTGAATATGTGGAAGTGGAATTAGAGTCAGCTGATAATAATTGGTTATATACGTGTATATAGGTCAGTATGTTAGTTAATTTAGTAGTTGAAGAGGAACTTGTCCAACGAGGGGGAGAGGCTTAATTGCATTGCAGCCTTTGACTAGACTATTTCCAGGATGTGTTATTCTACAAAAACTTGGTAAAAAAAATATATGTTTGAGACGTTGGTTACATCAACAACAATAACTGTTACGATCAAAGAACATCCCAACAGCCAATCTGAGTTAATCTACCACCTAACGTCTAAGTCTGAATACATGTATAAAAATAGTATACAACAACTAGCTACAATTTTTTTTCTTTAGAACACGCAAAAGCCTTATTACCCACAATTGTACTAAAAAACGGGTGAGAGGAGAAGGTATCCAATCTGGATGCCCATTCATGCAATCTAGCCATCTAGCATTTCAGTCACAAGCGTGGATAAGACATGAAAAGATCCTGCGTGCGCACTCACAAACTCATATACAACTACCCCCTTCTTCGTCCACAGAGAAGAGCATTTGGCTGTCTAGATGGATGGATGTAAAAATATGCCCCATTCTAGTATGGTGGAAGCAATCGTCACTACAACCATTGCTAGTGGCCTTTTTTTTTTTGATAAAGGAAGACATTGAACTATACAAGCTCGCATTCGCGCGAGACGATGGCTCTGTTCGGCTGATACATAAGCCGGCTGAAGCTGTTTTGTTGTGTAGGATCACTACATCTGTATACGCATGCAACCAAACACCTTCAAAGATTTACTGCACGAGGCTGTATAGCCAACCAAACACTCTTATTTTCTATTTATCGGATCCATGCACTTAGCTTTGTCTCGCTCATCCAGGATCTACAAAGGCTACCAAACAAGTTTCTCGCCTAATGCTGTCAGCATGTGGTTGAACACCCTAGCAGTCCTTCCCACATATATAATTGCCAAAACAGGATGATCACATATAATGTGTCACGTCCTTCCCGGAACTCTTGCGGATCATCTTTTGTCAACAACTTCAGGTTACGCTTGTTAATTGGTTATTCGCACTACTGGAGGCGCATGCTTTGCCAGAAACCCTCGGCAAAGGCTTTGCCGAGGGCTGCCCTTGGCAAAGACCCCTCGGCGAATTTTTAGACGGCGAAGGGGTCTTTGCCGAGGGCCCTTTATCGGACACTCGGCAAAGCCTTTGCCGAGGGCCAGGACGGCCCTCGGCAAAGAAAAGAGGCCGTCAGGCGCCGGCGCCGTTGGCGGTTTCTTTGCCGAGGGCCCACCCTCGGCAAAGAAATGATTTTTTTTTAATTTGTTTGCCGAGGGCCGACCCTCGGCAAACAATTTTTTTTATTTTTTTTAAAAACCTTTGCCGAGGGCCTTCTCCCTGGCCCTCGGCAAAGAAATTTTTAGGATTTTTAAAAATTCTTTGCCGAGGGCCGGCCCTCGGCAAAGTCGGCAAATAATTTTTTTTAAACCTTTGCCGAGGGCCTCCTCTCTGGCCCTCGGCAAAGAAATTTTCAGGATTTTTTAAAAATCCTTTCCCGAGGGCCGGCCCTCGGCAAAGAAATGGTTTTTTTGAATTTTTTTAACCCTTTGCCGAGGGTCTGCTCCCTGGCCCTTGGCAAAGAAATTGTCAGGATTTTTTTCCAAAAAAATCTTTGCCGAGGGCTATTGCTTGGGCCCTCGACAAAGGACCCTTTTTGTCGAGGGCCTTGGTCATTGCCCTCGACAAAGAGGCAGAAATTTAATTTTTTTTGTTTTTTGCATTCCATCGTCACAAGCATTTTATATATATATCACACAAAACCCATTTTCTCACAATATATCACAACCATAATTGTGAACCACAAATCACAATATATTACAACGACAAGTTACATGTTTATTACGACAAGTTAATGAAATCCAAGCACAAGTTACAACCATAAATCACAAATCACGCTAAAATCCAACCACATCACCTAACACGAGTCCTCATCAAGCTAGCCTATGAGACGATGGTGAAGGAAAAGCAGGATCACCCGGTGACGCACTAGCGGGTTGATTGGAACCCGTGGACGGAAGCTGCACAAAGGAGCAGAGATTGCATGTGTGAGTAATCCGGGAAAACAGTTTTGGAACTTAGAGATTGCATCTAGTATTGTAGGAATACAAAAAGATTAGACTCAATTAAAAATTTTGGCAGCACCTCCCCTGCACGGGGAGGTTTCCAAAACCTGCAAGAAACGACGGCACGAACGCCGAAATCCGCAACGGCACGAACGCCGACATCCACAACGGCACGAAGGCCGACATACATGCAAAGCACAAGTGAAAAGTGAACTTTCATACTTACAGGAGTAGCTGCAGGAGTAGAAGGTGGAGGAGCTGAAAACTGCACAGGTACACCCGATGCTTGCCCAAGACTTTGCATGATCACCATCATCTCCACCATCTGCTTCTGCGCGGCCTCGAACGCGACCTTCTGGGCCTGTAGCTGTGCGATCAGCTCCGCGTTCTGCTCTTGACTTTGCCTTTTTGTTTCTTGCAGCTCGGCCTGCAATATTTCACTCCAATGTATCAGTAATGCAAATCTAATTTAGGTGTGTAAATATCTACGTACGATGAGTAAAACAGAAATTACCTGGAGTGCTTGGACCTGCTGCAGTGCTGGAGAAGGCCGTGGATGTATGGGCTGGCTGGAGCTCGTGCTCCGTGCTCGGATAGCGTCGAGGGAGGGAACAGTGGTGGAGTCGATGGCGCCGTCTGCAATCCACAGCCGCCCGTGCTTCTTGCCTCTTCCGAGCCTCATGATCGCCTCTGCGTCGTCCTCAGTGCGCATATTGTAATCTTCCCCATAGATCTGTCTTACCGTTGACGTGTACTCTTGAACTTTAGTATACACGTTCGGGTCGGAGTACACCTGGGGCGGGGCAATCGGGTCGAAGGAGACAGAGGACGACGCCCTGCCCATGTGGGACATAGCCCACGCAGAGAACTCCGAGACCTCCTCGCCCGGGTGCGCAGCCTCGTGCGAGAAAGACGGGAAGATGGTGAGAAATCAAGCAGAATTGAGCGTCAAAATAAATGAAAGAAATCACTTATGTATGCTTGTTTGTATCCGGGGAGGCTACGGCTGCCTTGATGGTGAGTTGGACCTTGCCTCATCAGACGTTGTTCCCGCTGCCTCTCATGCGTGTCAACAAAGTCCTATGATAACCACTTGTCCACGATCATGGCCCAGCACTCGGGATACGATCGGCACCACCAGGGAATCACCTACAAGTCATCGAGTATTTGACATATAAGAAGATGAAATTGAACCTACTTAATATCAAAATGAATCATTATGAATGTTATTCGCCTACCTCAAGATACTGGTCCCGGGTCAGCGTAATCCGTCTTGCTTGAGGCTTGGGGAGGGACTGCCTAAGTACCGACCTGTAATAGTCAATGTGGGCCTGGACGCGCCCATGGTGATGCATCTCGGTGACATACTTCCTACAAGCTGCGGCAGCCGCCCGATCCGCCTGGGCCTCAAGTCCTTCTTCAGCCTTGAAATATTTCTACATACAAAACCGATGTATCCATTCATTATTTTGATAAAAGATTTAACCAATGAATGCGATGTATTAAGCAATGTTGTGCGAGAGAGACTTACCCAAAACTCCGCCAATACTCGCTCCTGCTTGTTGCGGTAAGTGTCATCCGTGACCAGCGCGTACCTGTCCCAGTTGGAGGCCGGCTCCCGCACCACCGGTTCTTCGGATAGTTGCACAATGCCGGGGTACCATTTCCTGCACAAAACACCAAGGATGCTCACGGGGGTGCGTGCTAGAGTACCCGACAAAACCAACCAGGCCCTGCACAAGTGATTAAGAAAATTTATCAGTTTCTCTTAAGATTTCCAACATATCTTATGAAGTAGTTGTGATAACATCCATAGTTACTTACCTCTTTGCCATAGGCCGAATCATTGAGCGGTTGTGAGGAAGCGGAACCGGAGGGAGGCTCGTGGGACCTCGCTCGTAGAGAGTCCAGGTAGCGGTACCCTCTCCCTCGCCCTCGAGCGCCTCGCCTCCCTCGCCCTCGAGCACCTCGCCTCCCTCGCCCGTCTGCTGACCCTCTCATCCTCCGATGAGGACGAGGC